TCGATCTCGGAGACGATAAAATCAATCGAACCATGAGTGGACAGTGACAAACGGTTAAGTGCATTATGCAAAAACGCTCGGTTATCGATCACCGACACCGGTCGCGAGCAACGAAATTACACGGGGCTTATTATCGCGGAGCATCGCATGCACGGATCTTAAGGACACTATTACTCCACTTAAAGCTTTTTTCCGATACTCAAAATCCATTAAATCATTCCGCGAAATTAGTAAATTCGAGGTTTTAAATGAATATTGAATCATGCAATGTGTAAAGGAAACTACATACGTATATTCATATTTCAAAGTATGTATATATGTAGAATAAACAAACGTTGAACATTTGTCTCTATATCATATTGTCTGCCTGTCGAATTGTTCACCCAACGTCACTGTATGAACAAATTATATCCAGACGTACGTGCATTTCAGAATTTTGCCTCTTGTTATTTGACTTACTGCTTCTCTTCAAAAATTATAAACGATATTGTAAATTGCCTTGAGATTTTGCAACTCTTTAAATTAAACGTACTTTCGTCATTTATGAGAACGTCAATCATTTTAGTACTAACGTAAACAAACAATGTGAAACGGTTCACCTATGTATCCACCCTTAAACATCTTGTCAAACCTCACCTAATATTCTGTTCTACTCGTATCAAAGGGTAATTTCTACACCTGTAAATAAATAATAATCAATATTTACAAACAACATATGCGAATTCCCTAGTTTCTCCACTTTTTGGAGTTTCCTGATCCATCCTGTCCCCCAGTTTTTCCCCGAAAAGTCCCAAACGGTGCCTGTTTTTGTTCCCCCACCCTCCCCCCGGGGCACGAAACACGAGGAAACGCTCTTAATATCGCAAACAGTGGATCAAACGAACGAACCTTAACCGGACGTAGGGACGAGGCGTCGAACCGCGCTAATTCCCATCGTCGAAATGGTCGGCGATTCGCGCGGTGAACCGCCCCTTCGTCGATCCACTCGATGCACGAGCCCTCTTCTGGCTGTAATTTTTTTCGCTCGACGGTGGCTTTCGACGGGGGCCTGTGTGCAGCCTGAAAAACGAGCCAGCGCCCGTACGAAATTGTTTTGTCGATTTCGACCCTTCCGGGCGAAAGTGTTACGTCGATGGCGGCGCGCGACCCGTTTGCTGGCGATACGGCGGCAAGAGTGACATTATAAACGACAGTCGGTGGCCGGGACACCGTTTTCGCAACGGGCAACGACAAACATACGAGCGAAGTCGACGACAACGGTTCGACTCTCGAAATTGGAATTATCGGAGATACGTTTCGACGGGCCGATACAGTCAGAGGTTCGCGTTTCACATCGCCTCCGGACGACTAATTAGCGCCCGCGCACGGTAGCGTGCCACCGGGGAACCAGATCGTCGCGATACTAACGATTTTTCAATTATACGCTAACGTCGTCCGTTGCAAACACTGCACAATGCTCTGCTGCCGTTTCAAAACGAGAAAGAAAGAGCACCGGGGGTTGGCGAGAAAGGCTATCGAAACGTCAACAAGTAGCTAATGAGGGATCGATGCAGCTGATTTCCTCGATGGAAATTTGTTGGACTTTGGAAAATGGACTCGACAAATCTTTCCCAACGGGACGGTCTACCGCGATCGTCAATCGTTGATGATCGCCTAATCCTCGACCTTTGGACCAGGTGGCGACGAAAGATTTACCTCCGCGAAATAAAAGTGATTTTAGATATTTTTCTTATGATCGAAACAAGAAAAATGAAACGGAGTTCGAAGTGAAACTCTTGAACATAGGTCTGACGCAGATAAAAATATCGAACTAACAGTTTTTAATCCGATATTTAAATAGAATTACCACGCAATTCTAAAATCAGAATTGGGCAAATCCTGAAACTAGATTTAGACTGAATGCCAATCAAAAACATTCATTTATAAATTGTAATATGCGGAACTCTTTAATTTAGTTAATCGCGAATAAAAGGATGCAAACTTATTAGAGAAACTCCTTAATGGAATATCCACATCCAGTATAAATTATTGTACTGTGTATTTATTCGTCTATCTAGTAATTGAAATGGAAAATGAAATTGTAAATATAATATGCTCCCACCGACTAACTATTTATTTATTTTGCTACTCCAATTCACAAGCAATAACTTAATTGTTCTACTCCTAAATTTTTCTATACACTATACGCTGCGTGGTTAAAAAGTGGAGGATGGTAAGAACGATTGATAGTGAATTATTTTGTGTTAATAAATTTGTGGTTCGATTCTGATTAAAATACGATCCAATAAATGATTCGTTGCTATGTTTTGATTAAGGGAGTTGGTCGTTTAACACGCGAATAATGAATAATGTGCGTGTGAGATAAATGTATAAATTGGACGCATTGGTGAACTGAATATTTATTCATATAAAAATTAAATATGTAACAAGTTATCTCAAAGCTGCCATCTGCGCAATTCCTGCACGGACCGTTAATCTTTAGGCACCAAACGGACCATTTATGGTCCCCGGTATGCGTGACTGTTTTATTTCTCTATTAATAAATACCAAAATACATACGTTTTAAATATTACATAGGCCTTAATATTGCACGATTGCGAAACAACTTGTAAGTTTGTATACACAGTGTATTTAAGTATCGAATTATACTTGGATATCTAAAACAAGTGGTGAGAAATTTAGGGTCATATAGTACCATTAAAAATAGAAACAAACATGTAGCTAATGCTGCATTGCATAATGTGACAGTTCAGAATTGTGAAAATATCTAATATATTTAGTCTGAATAGTAAAAATAATTAAAAATGATTTCTTTGCATAATTATTGAAAAATAAGCTACATTAACTGTCAAAGTAATATACAATTTTCTATCCCCATAAATCAAATTAGTTATTTGCACTCATTCGTCAGACACTATTGCAAGACAAGAAAGATTATTAATTACGTCAAATTCTTTTATCACGTTTTGAATTTATGATTCCACGACTGTTCTTATACAACAATAATTACGACAAATGCTTGCCTTGTTAATAAAACTGCGGCTGTAAAACATCGCGTACGTAACAAGTTATTTATTTTACATCGTGCATAATCATAACGTACGCTTTTAGTCCTTAATGACTTATCCATGCGCAAGATTAACAAATAAAGTCGTTCGCATTACTGGAGCTGAAAAATTAGACAGAGTTTACTTACGGACCTACGTGAACTGGATATTATGTCATCTACTTGTATGATAAATGACCCTAAATTCCTCGATTCCTTTTTCAGGCTTGTATATTCAGCAACACGTAGAGAAATAATTATGGAAAAATCGTTACTCAAAAAATATAATACGAAAACTAATTTTCGTTCGTTTCGTTTGCAATAATATCACGCAAGTCCCAATTATCGATTAGCATTCGTTATCATCAACTGGCGACTGGTAAACAATATCACCTTCCCTCAGTCGGTCATGTCTTCATAAAGAATGATTTATTACTCCCGCGCATTTGCAGTGACTTATCTCGATAAAGCGCGACGGGTATTGTAGTCCAAGGAAAAGCATATAATAAAGCTAATGTACACATGAATCGTCTAACAAGGAAAAAACAGCGCCGGTCGGAAAATCGCGATTTAAATCCACCGTAATTGTTACCTGATTTCTAATTCCGATTTCTAACGAGAAGTGCCGAAAGCGCTAATGCATTCCACCAATTAACGTCGCGCCACGAATCGCGCCAGAAACGCATCAAGGTTTTCACGACAGAATTATCTCGATCGTCATCTCAATTTGTTTAACTAGCGCATTACTAATTGCCTCGATCGAAACAATACCGCCACGCACGTGGAAAAGCAATTTATTTGTTCTAGTAATTGCAAGAGACGCATCGAAACAATCGGTATGTTCACTGACGATCGATCAGAATATTGGTTAAAAATATTAAACAAATTCTACGAGAAATATCCAAGAAGAATACAACGGTAAAAATTCAAGAATCTCTCGATAACAAACTAATTTATATAGTTTTATATACGTCTCGACTCAATGTCGGTGAGTCTCCTTCTATAAACAGAACATATTTAGTTTAGCCTGAAAAGATAGGAAAATGTACGAAAGCACTGTAAAGAAATTAACAAAAACTCTTCGAGAGATTGAAAAGTGAAAAGTTTTTATATTTGTATCAAGCTAGATCGCATCTAATGCGATAAAAGCTTGATAGAATAATTCTGTTCAGCCGCATTCGCCGATAAATTATCAGTAAAATGTCAAAGATCGATATAGATACGATGGTTCGATCAACGTTCACGATTAAATCGAAGTCTTGATTGAAGCGGGGGATAATAGCGAACCCAATAATTGGATGAAATGATTGATCGAAGCTGCTTTGTTAATAAGTCTCCGGGGGTAACTTGAGCCGTTTTGGGATTTGGGATCCAGTGTCCTGGATCTAACACAGGGGTAGCAAAGAGGAACGAGATTCGTGCGACTCATGCGTGCCCGTCGGACAGAACGTGCCGCGTACAGCTTTCTTTGACTATATCGTCGAAGCAAATTGGCTACCGACGTTTCTGAAAACTGCAAGTGTTTCGAATCGTCGAACTGATGCACAAACAACCGCTTATGTTTGTCCAATTATTATAAGTATTAGTTCAGAAGTTGAAAGACGTGGGAGTAACAAAAGCTAATAGAACGTACCAAAGAAATTAGAGGGTAGCTCTTGAATGGGTATGGGTAACCTAATAATTTATTTGTATAATTAATTAACTTCGTTAAGTAAAATTGCGTTGGACAGTACCACTCCAGCAAATTGCCTTAATGGAAATTTCTAATCTTCCTACGTCTGTAATTTAGGAAACAAGGATTGAGTGTTTGTTAATTACGAAAAGTAACATTTTGTGTTACGACAGACACTTGTCCTTTTCGCCACCTAACAAAAACGCTTAAAAATATTAACAAACGATGAGAAACTAGATTCTTTTCCCTGACCAGTAGAAACGAAGTTTAAGAGAATGTTACCAGCGTTTTCCTGGGTGTCCCGCGCGGTATCCTCCATTTCTTGGTGACTTCTCTTGTTATTAGCCAGTCCAAGGATCGCGTCGATGCTGTGTCTCGGTGTGCTGCTCGCTGGCTTTGGCAGGACGATGTCCTGACTGTTCTGCGAGGCTGTTTCGACGAGCTGCTGCGAATCCATCGTCGGAAATCCGAACGTCTGACCTTCGATCAGCTACTGGTTGGGCCACTGTCGTCGCCGACGAAAGGATCACCCGAACGATCCTTCCCAAACGCACTTAGTACTCGATCGTGACGCGAAATGACTGTTCAGGACACGTGTTCTCAATCGGAAAATACATTTTGAGTGACGTCGTCGCGCTACCACGCGGCAGGATCTGCGACCTTTGCTCCGAAGTATCCTTCAGCCACCACTTCGATAATTGTCCACAAAGTTTCTCCGGTTATTTCCAAACGGTTGGGCCTAATTGTTCAACGAACAACAGTTTCCGCGCGGAACTGCACACGACTCTGACACCGATACCATCGGTTCGAGGTGCGTCTCATGACGCGCAACAACACTAACCGTCAAACCGGATCCTCGATGATTTCTTGGACACTGTAGATTGACTTTCTCTTCTTCCCCAGGTGGTTCAGTTCGGTTGTTTAGGTTCGAAAACCTTCAGAGGCATCGCGTGTTTGACGGAACGTTCGTTATCCTCTATCCGATATGCACCTTGGAGCGATCCCGGTCGATCTATCTTCGGTTAATTTGCCTCCGAGTGTCTCGTTGGCTGCACGGATCTACCTGGTCGCCGGATCATCGAGCCAGCGGGATCGAGGACTCCCGGTCCACTCGTGTGTCGACCGGTCCGTGGAGTCACGGTGAGCCAAAAAAAGGAACTAGAAAATAGTCGGGCGGCTAAGGTCGAAGCTGTTGTGCGTGCGTCGTGCCAACGAGGACTAAGTCGGCTGGCCGTTCGGCGGGGTGGCCTTTGTTGTAGCTGCACACAACTACTCGGCCAAGACATTCGGTTTGAAAGAGGTGGTCCAGGAATCGTCGGCCGAGGCGTGGCCTGGTTCCGCGAATCCGCGTCGCTGTTCGTCGGAACAGGAGCCAATCGGAACGGGGATCGAAGAACATGGCGAGACAGTGGTGCTCAATCGACAGCGTAGACGGTTAACCCTCCCTTGCGGTCTCGAGGTGGGGTTAATTCGCAGGGGTAGAGAAGGTGGACTCTCGTCGGGCTTCTGTGACACCGCACGCGCACAACTACACCCACTGCGCGTGTACGGGACGGTTGGGGATGTGTGAGAGATCCAGAGACGGGATACACAGGGGCTGTGCGCGCACACGCGTCTCGAAAAGGGGTGGCTCGCCTAAACGGACGTAGCACACATGTGTTGGGCAACGTGCGCGCGCGTGCGATCAACGCGAGCGAGCGCGACCGGTGCGGCTTGATTCTTGCGGCGGATTCTGGCATCCCCTGTAATTGCCAGAAATGAGGTAAAGCTTACCGCTTACGCCAAGCCTCTCCTACGCTTCTGGATGTGCCTCAGCGACTTTGCGCGCGCTACCTGACCGCCGTACGTTATTATGCGTGCACCGAGCGAGCGCGGGCCCGTTGTCACGGCTATTTTTCGAAGACGGTCGTTCACGGTTGTTAAGCCGTTTAACTTCACTGCCGCGGTGTGTTTACCACGCGCGCAGGGGACGAATGACGCTTCAGCGGTCGTAATTGCTTCGTTTCGATCCTCTTGCGCTCGCCCGCTGCAGTAATTTCGTTACTCTTTCGCGAAAGAATGGTCGCTTTTAAATTGACGGTCCGCGGGATACTTTAACGTCCACGAGACCAACAACGTTTCATTCTTCACTCGTCGCTACCGTCCTGACCATTTAGCGCCCTCAGACCGGGATTTTCAACATTTTTTCAAATTTTATTTTTTTTATTTGGTATAAAAGTCTGGGAAAATTTTACTTTACGTAACACTTGATTTTTACATTCTTTATTCAAAGACTTCGGTTTGATATTTTATTTTGTCGTGGTTCAAAAGAGGTTTGAAAGAGTTTGTATTTTTCTATTTCTTGTTTTCACCACCAGATAGCTGTTTTGGAGAACGTTATCTCGACTTCGACTTGAATTTTCTAAAGCCAGGATTTATCGAATCGCTTGTCCACGATAAACAAAGCAACCAAATAATAAGTGTAATTGTTCATAATGGTTATGATATTTTTAACACACAGTAGCACAATGTACTGTCCAAATTTACCATCGTGCGATTAGGTTTAAGTGCCAAACCACGCCAATAAACTGATGTTTACAAATTAATGGCCAGTGTAAATAGCTACAGTATAATCTTCAGAAATTAGTTTACCTTTGCGACCGAACGTGCTGAGTATACGCCCAACTGACAAATAATGGGTACACACACCGTATTGTTTCCATCCCTCGTATTTAATTAATGCCCCTGATTCTCCCAGGAACGTTGTCTCTTGCTTGATGCTAATTGATCGAACAATTACAAGATCCATCAATCCTCTGTTGAAAATATCGAAAGGGCACAATTTTCAAAATCCGTTAAATATAAAATTGATAATTAACAAGGACGTTTCAACGTCGACGTACATAGCGATAACTAACTGGTCTCGTTATTGAATATCGTAAATAACGTCAAACATTCATCAGCTCGTTAACGACAAAGGCACCGGATTAAATATTAGGAGAAAAATCAGCCACCGCCATGGATGAGGCAACGCGTTATTTGCAACGTTATTTTTCGAGAACGTCACCGGAGCATTCTACTCTTTGAACGCGCGATCGAAACCGCGTCGCAACCACAGACACTACGACCGATTTTTATCTCGATTTCCTTTCACGGGCGTTTTTTTTTTCTGGAATTAGCTTCGTGACAAAGAGACAAGAACTGGACGCTTTTGCTCGTCTGGGATGTCGCGTCCGGCTTGGAAATTGTTTCTTTTTCGTTCGCGCACCCGAAAACCAGTGCACAAAACAAATCCCCGTTTCCCATTCCGCATTCGATTCCGTCGCGTATCGTCGTTACCATTTGGCGTTTTAGCCCAGGGGGAAGTGTACGCCCACAAAACCGCGACACAAAAGATATCCGCCTGTAGCGAAACAGTAGCTGCTCAAAATCGATCCAACTAAATCGAGGCAAATTATACGTTGCGGGCGAATTCACCGTTCTTCCGTTATAGAAAAAGCCTCCCGCGTGGTCCAGGGACGCGTCTCGATTATAATTGTTCTGCGAAATAGCGCGCCGGAGTTCGCTACCACAACCTCCTAAACGCCCTGGCAGTTAGGCGTTATTGGACTTTTCTGAATGACCCGCAGCTAGTAACGTTTCCCACTGTAATTTAAGTGGCGGGTTAAGTACAATTTTCGCGCTGGCATTACCGACCTCCTGTTCGCGATTGCAAAATACAGATTTAAGTTGGGACCCATTGTTACAATCAAACGAACTTCTCCGCTGTTGCAACAATCTATAAACTCGTGATTTAAAAAACAGGAAAATCAAAATTAACAGAAGCACATTAATTCTGCTTTGAGCGAATCAAACTCCTGCTGTATCTATTTTTAAACGATAGAAATATAAATTAAAATTGTGAAGTACTTAGGAATTTGGAGAAGAAACTGATGTAGAACAACTTAAAAAAGAATTAAATCAAATCCAAGAAAAACAAAACCAACTACTTCTATAGATATTATAAAAGATTCTTCACGTTCTAGAAAGACTATTCACTACGATAAAAGTTGTCTCATCTAGTTGACGAAGAATTAAAATTCACAAGGTAATCTTTTTCCTTCCGGGGACCAGCTGATAGATTATTTCGATGTAAAATTAAGCGACGGTTGCTATTGAAAATGTATTCGATATAAAAGTGGATCGATCCGTTCGACAGCTTTTGTAAACTTGTATTCCCACGTGCTCTTTGTCGCGTTTACACGCGTTAACAAGGAACGCGCGTCGAACGGCGCCATTTTTCCACGGGGCAATCTCAGTCACGAATCTAACGATGGGCAGCACGGGAACGGGAGAAAAGGCTTTTAGGTCCCGTAGAAATCAGATCACAAGAGTTGCATTTAACCGGATCCCACTTACCGCGATAAATATCTGCCAGGAGGATCGAGGGACCGACCGAGTTAGATCGACGCGTTTATTTCGTGCCGGGCACAGTTAGAGCCACGGGAGCACTTAGCTCCAGTTTTAGCTAATTTCCTGAACGTTGATCCCTGCGACCGAGCTCAAGGGATCCCGAGCGTTCCCAGAAGATCGTTGGGAGCCCAGAAAAATTCAGGTAGCCATGACGGTTGAACGTTTTAACCTGTTTGACGTATTCGGAGCAGCTGATACCCCGGCCATCCTCGAAGATAAGTACTCCGAAACTCGTCGAGGGTTCGACCAAACTCTACTTTTCAAAATTTCCTTCGATTCTGATCAATGCCGAAAAAAACTGTTCTATTTTGTTCTTGGTGTTTAAACGAAGCTAAAGAAATGGAGCGTTCGTTATTGTTTGGAATCCGGTTCTAATTTTCTGTACTGTATCGTATGTATACTCAAATTAAGAAGGCGTATGTTAAAATGTCGGTCACCGATGGCAGATGTAACTCGAATAGAAAGAGTGACGGACACCGGTGACCGTCACGGCACTCGACGCGTTAAGATTTCGACGCCTGCAGATTCCTCGGTTGGAATAGATATCTATACACGCGTAAGAATGACCCTCCGCGCCCAATAAAAGGAACAATATCCAATCTCCTCGAAAATTGCCCAAAAACTCTATGGCCATTGGAAAATTCGGGGATTCACGATCTTCATTGTGGATAATCTTCGGAGATCAGCGATCGGAGGCCGTTCACAATGGCGCGTGTCCAGGCCGTCGAAAGGAGCAACGCGGACACGGAACACGGACCAGAAAACAGTTTGCAAATCGGACGTGAGTCCCCGAAAACGGGGCCTAATAAAGGAAAAACCATCCCTGGAGCATTCACGCGGACGCGTATCCTCGGAGGAACCATGCAGCTGCGCTGATGGTGGCCCCCCTGATGACCGAGATAAGTCTAATTTCGTTGTATTGGCCATTGAGACCGTTTCACAGAGGCGGGATCCGCTCCAATTTTTCCTTCCGCGATCCTCTTGCTGGTACTTTTCTCGTGCAATGATCGTTCGTCGAGGTGCGAA